TTTGCTTTCTAATCCCAGGCCCTGTCGTTGACTTTTTGTCTCTGAACTACTTCACAGTTATAGACCAGGAACTCTTCATCACGGCCTAATTTTCCTCCCATAAAAATCACAGCACATAATAAAGAACGTGCCACACACATTACAGGGAGGTTCTCATCCTCGTAAATGGCAGGGGCACGTGACTGATGGGATTGGAAGGAGGTGTAAAATGTGTATGTGTCATGTGAAGAACAAATTCCACAAGTGTCAGTGGTCCACAGTGTCAAGATGGGCCTGAGGATGTAGGCCAGTGAAATTTGAATTTTGTAAGCAACACAAGGGAAAAAGAACAGCAAATTCGAACAGTGCTCTAAGCAGTTACGATCGATGTTTTGCAAAGAGCAGTAATTAAATTTGCACTTATAAATTAAATCCTCATGTTCCGACTGCAAATAATTCATTGCTGAGTCTCCAGTTATTTCCCTTCTTATACTTTTTTATTGAATGCAATAATGTCTCTTGAACACTGAGTGTCAAATTGTGTTAAGTCTTCAGTCCTCACCGCAGTCCTGGGGGTTTTTACAGATGCTGCGTCTGAAGGTCAGTTATGTAACTTGCTCAAAGCCACAGAGCTAGTAAGTGATAAAATCAGATCCATCAGATCTAAAACTTGTAATCTTTTCATTTTGTCTTCTGTCTCTCAAATGAATAATCTGTACAAAGACCACAAATGGTTAAGATCCGGAAAGCCAAGGCCCAGTCCTCTGTACTCATCTGTGTGACCTTTTATCCTCACTGAGTCTCAGTTTCCTCACCTACAAGATAACAAGAATAATAGCACCTCCCTTGTAGGATTGTTGTGAGTAAAATAATGAAGATAATAGGCACTCACATCTGGTTCTTTCCGTTGTCATTTGTACCACCACTACCTCCCGCCTTATCTCTGCCAGGTTCCGTGCTAAGCATTTTATGGGCATTATCATTTCAATAGTTCTGCAGGGCAGGTGTTAGATCCCCATGTGCACAAGGGAAATAGTCTCAGAGCAATTAAGGATCTTGCCCAAAGAGTTCAAAGCTTGTCTAGCTCCAAAGCCTGTTTGCTTTCTACCCCTATAATGACTGTAAATTCCTATCCTGTAATTTTTGTGGTGATATGACCGTGATGGTGAGGTCAGTGACGCTGTAGTTGTTGCCCACTCAGTAAGCAGAACCAGGACTCAGCCTGGGTCCATCTGACTGCAGAGGCCCAGCCACACCTGACAACTCTGCTGCAAGGCTTCAGGAAACAGTAACTTGGTATTTATGGGTCTGCTAATTCCATGTATAAGAAGCTTGAAATTGAGGATACTTGGAAGAGTTATCCAGAGTTATATTTTTATTTCACAGTCTTATTCCCCAGGAGCTTCTAGAAGGAAGACAGTCTTTCTAATAACTTATTTCTAAGACATTCCTAAGTCAGAATTAGTTTTTAAGTTTGGACAGAATTAACAAGGGACTTAGGGCATAGAAGAAGCTCCTACTGCCTCAACTTTTGTGTTACTTTGGAAAGTCCCTGTGCAATGAGTAGATTATTTGAGCCACACAGTAGAGCTTCATAAATCCATTTCTCATAGATTACATAAGCTTTCCCTTCCTTTGCTCAGCAGGCTTATTTGCACAGTGATCCTTCACTAAAGAATGAAGGAAACTTCATATCATTCTCTTGAAATTATCTCTTCCAAACAACATAGGATTGGAATAGCCAACAATGTTGTGAATAATTTAGATTCTCATCAGAATTCCAACTGGAGCTTTTAGTACAGAGGCAGAACTCTTGGTCTGGCCAGAAGGTGGCCAGACACTAAGCAGCTTTTAAATGACTTGCATGTGTCTGAGTTTCAGAGTTAAATGAACAACAGTAATTTGGGGGATGATTTCCCAGGCCCTTTGATGAACGTTCATCTGCTCTTAACCTGATCCACAGAGGTGCCCTTGCACTTGGAAAAACACGTGTCATGATAGAGGTTGATAGCCCCTTGTCTGGCACTCACACACTATGATGTGCTCACTTGCACCCCATTGCTCTGGAGCCCGGAACGGCCCTGTCTGAGCTCTTCAGAAGCTAGGGCCTGACTCGTGGTGGAGAGAACTGGCCCTCAGAACTGGAACACTCCCCAGGGTGAAAATCTCCTTCTAGAACACATTCTAGTATGCTCAGATAGCTTTTCTCTCAGACGAAACAGCCAATGAAATGAAATTCTCATGTTCTCATGTCTCTTTCTGCTTGGCTGTGTATAAACACAATTTTTCACGCATCTGTCTAAATCCACAGTCCTTCCTCACAACTCACTCTTCTTTGTTCCTCCAACGTTTACTACAGTTTGCAGGAAAAAACAAATGCTCACATTTTGGGTGACAGTTGAAATTAAACATTATCTTTGTTCCCATTGTAGTTGGCGAGGATCTTATTCTCAGGAACTCATTAGAAATAGACAGACAAAACCTGGGGGACACCAGGCATCAGGGGGCGGAGGCCTGTCACTAAGTTTGAATTCATTTCAAGTGTCTTTAGGTAAGGATTGCTGATTGTGCTGTACTTGAGGCCAGAGGCAGAAGGGTTCTGAAACACTCTGTTATTTGTTGAAATCCATACTTGTGGGGTTGGGGGCACTGGCCTCTGTGGTGAAGATTGGCTAGAAAAGGTGAGCTGAATGGATGGATGATGACTGCTGAGGAAGTGGAAAGTGCAGGTGTTAGAAACTTCAGCCCCAGGGTTCTCATCCCGGCCCCTGTCCTGCTTAGCTGTGTGACGGTTAACCTATGTTGAGTTCACCTATGGTTTAGAACTAAGCATGCAAAGTACCAAGCAGATGTGAACACTCGTCCATAGGAACAGTGTTTAAGTGTCAATGATAATGGTACACAGGCAGGTTGTCACCCAGGAGCAGCCGTGGTTCAGCTTTGTTTGGGGAACAAAGAAAAGGGAGGAGAAAACTGTGGTGCTTGAGCTCAACAACAGCCATAGTTTCTCTTCTCTTCTCCTGCAGATACTCAAAAGGAGACTGGGGACATGTGTGACACTGGTACTTAATGTTAGGGATGCCGACTCCTCTGGAAACCGGGAGATCTTTGTTGTTTTTGCTTTAAGTTCCCTTCTCCCCTTAGTCCCTCGCCCCGGTTGAACTCAGCTATGTAGTGATTCCATCTATTTTGTTGAAAATTCAGTCCCCTAGGGAAAATATGATAATGTTGTTTTCAGACAGCTGTGTTTGGGAGCAAGATGGACTGAACCAGCTGGCTGGCACCATTGGAGCCCAAGGACCTGCTAACCCATGGAGAGCAGCTGTTTTGGCTGAAATTCTTATCATTCTTATGACTTTGCTTCCTATATTATCAGCTTCTGAGTTCTGCTTTTAAATGCACACCCAGAGGAGAGAAAGCCATGAGGAAGACTCTGATGTGTCTAGGGCCACCCTTAGTTGAAAGGAGTGGGTTCCCACCACCATCCTCTTGTTACTCATGATTGTTGGAAAAGAGAAAATCCAGAAGGAGGCTATCTCCAAAGAGCAAGAGGCAATAATGAGTGGATTGGTTAATACTGATATCTTAATATGGTGGGGTGTTAGAAGATTTTTTTTAATGAAGGAAGAAATGTTACAATAGAATGTTAAACGACATGGATATGATACAAAACTGTATAAAGAATATAATCATAATTATGGAAAAGTGTTCTTTACCATCAAGTGAGATAACTGAATCAAGGCACTTAACCCGGTGCCTGGTGTGGAAAAGACTAAGCAACCACAGCTATTGGATGCAAACTCTAACCACAGGGAACATGTTTTCTTCCTGCACTGTTATCCCCACAGTGCCTGGTATAAAGTAAATGCTCAAAAGATCTTTCTCAATTGCATGAACCGGTGGTGGTGTTATATGCATTTAAAAATGAATCTAGAGAATCTAAGGACATGGGTTTCTGAGTGATCATCCGTAATTACATCTGTGATTGTGGCAGCCTAACCTCTCTGCCTCAGTTCTTCATTATAAGTGGTGAGGATAGTACCTGTTGCTCAAGGTCACTGAGCACGGAGTGAGCCACGTGTAAAACACACGCAGTGGCTGGTCCCTAGGGAACCAGCACTGAACGGTGGCCACTGTAATCACAGTAAGTACCATGTAAGTGGTATCTATTATAATAATTCTGCTGTCCTCGTGTCTGTAGGAAAAAAGATGAGAGTTGTCATGATTTTGTCTATCATTTTCTTCTCATTTCTTACCTTGGACTTTTTATTTTAAAATATAAAAGCTTAAAAGTTTATAAGAAAATAAAGCTCAAAAGCTAATAGTGGTTATTCTAGAATTGGGAGAGGTTTTCTGTTTTCTTGATGCTCTTTTCAAATTGCCTGGAGTATTTATGTGTCACTTATCATCAAAAGGAAAAAAAAAAACAGCAACTTTTCCCCCCTTATAAATAAGAAAAAAATTGCTCCGCATCAAAGATGACACAGAGCTACTGAACTAGAAAGGATGCCCCTCTGAAGATGGTTGAGGACTAGGAAGTGGGCCCTGCTCTGGGCTACTTTTTGGGGTGTTATTTAAATGCCTGTTTCACACTCTGAGAAAGTTGTGAAGCCGTCATTAAGAACTGCTGAGAGAACCAGGCAGGGAAAGTAAAGGGATTTTGGTTAATTGGTTCTGGACAAAGGTGGTCACAAAAGTTGAAGTCTTGTTAACAGTCGATGGCTTAGATGTAGCACAGAGCTTCCCATTTCCCTTGGAGAGAACAAAAAGACCTGTGGGAAATATAACAGAGGGTTCTAGGAATGGAAGTAAATGGTTACTAAACTCCAGGATACACTTCCGAACAAGAGGGTTGAATGTGGTTCCTAGAGACGTTTCAAATGAAGTCCTGAGCAAACACTGGTGGCCTTCTCAGGGTTTCTTGCTGTTTCTTAGCTATCACCGCACCTCCAGTTGTACTGGTTCTGCTTTGTCCCCAGTTCATGGCAGTGTGTAACCATGCTATGAACTTTTACTTGCAGATATTTAACACGGTACCTGATATGCCTCTCACCAATGCCCAGCTGCACCTGTCTCGGAAGAAGAGCAGTGACTCCAAGCCCCCGTCCTGCAGCGAGAGGCCCCTGACGCTCTTCCACGCCACACAGTCAACAGAGAAACGTGAGTCCTGTGCCGAGGGCCAGTGTGCTCCAGGGACATCCCATGCCGCTTCCTGGCTGCTCAGGGGGCACACCTCCAGCCTCTGTCTGTGGGCCGCAGCCTTTTGTGTCCCTGAAGACTGTGTAGCATCATGCTCTCCCGGGTGCCACGGCTGTGCAACCCTATTAAGAGAGAAAGCAGGATTGCTGAGAATGAAAGGCAGGGTGCGCGCTGTTCCGGTTCTCTTTCCAGACCTGGGGCCACCAGCTGAGCCTCTCTCCCACCTGCTACACAATAAGAGCTCAGCACAGGTGTTGCTTCTTTGGGCCCCCTTTTGTTAGCAGCTCCCATGGCACGGTTTCCTTTCCTTTTCTCAGTTTGTAATTAGATGCATATTAGTGCGAGTCACATGCCCCACTAGAATGTGACTGTGTGAAGGCAGGACCTTGTTTTGCTCGTCCTTCCGCTCCACCTCTCACAGGGCCTGGTATATAGTGGACACTTAATAAATATGTAAAGTTAATTAATACATTCATTAGGGAATAATACCTTCCTTGTTCCACATAGCAGAGTGTAATCACCACGATTGTTTCAAAACTTTTTTCATCTCAGGATTTCTGAGTTCTTTGCAGTGATCAGGTTACTGAGCCCTAAAATATCTGGACTTGTTTAACATTTGTAATGAGAGAGTTGAGTACAGACCTGGGTTCCTGTGCCAGCAGCAACACATGGGCACGCCTTTTGCCTTCTCTCAGCCTCAGTTTGCTCATCCATAAAGTAGGGATCATAGTACCTACCTCATAGGGAAGTTGTGAGGTTAAAATGAAGTTATACATTAAGCATCTGGCCCAAAGAATATAAAAACACCACCTGTCTTTAAGGAGCTCACAGCTGAGTAAGGGAAGCAGACAAGTGAATAGATAATGGCAAGTTGGCGCATAACTGCTCTCGTAGAAAAACATACCTTCAGTGAGGCAGTAGGACATGCTGTTTGAAAGACACATGGCACCACCCTGGTCAGTGCGGCTCGGTTGAGCATCTCCCGTGCACCAAAGGATCGCTGGTTCCATTCGAGGTCAGGGTGCATGCCCAGGTTGTGGCGGGTCCCTGGGGTTGGGTGCATGTGGGAGGCAACCCATCAATGTTTTTCTCCCTCTCTCTCTCTCTCCTTCCTTTCTCTATAAAATCATTAAGAAGAAAGAGAGAAGGAAGGAAGG